CCCCCTCACTCGCCTCAGACAACACCCTTTATTGCAGGTTGCTCTTGCACACTCGCGCTAAACGCCCCCTTCCCCCCCCCCCCCCGGCAAACTCTCTCATACCTGGACATACCTGGACATTCCCCCCACCCCCACCCCCCCCCCCCTCACCCCCATCCTCTTTGACAAGTCCGAGGAGGTCAACCCATCCTCTTAAAAAGAACGTCACTTTTGGCCCGTATGCGCACTATGGCCAAATTTGGACGTAATTTGAAATGAAATCCACTCACAAAAGTGACGTTCTGTTCCGTTTTCTATTTGAGTCGTCCGGCGTACGCGCAGAGGTTATGAGAGGACACTTTAAATTAACGTTTTTCATAACGTTTTGAAACTTTATGAGAATTTCCTGCCCACCTAACCTATCAGAGGACCCTTAACTTACTGTTGTTGACAAAAAAAATCCCAAATTTATTTTCATATTTTTTTCAATTTCAAATTACGTCCAAATTCGGCGATACGGACAAACGGCCAAAAGCGACGTTCTTTTTAAGAGGACAGGTTGCTCAACTACCCCTCCTTCCCTCCCACTTCCCTCCCACCCCCGCTCCGGCAACGACCCCATTTAGAAACTGTAGAATAGATTGCTTATTCGTGGCGCAGAGGATTGTATATATATATATTCCTTTTCCATTCCCTTCCTCCAACTCCTTCCCATCTCTGTTCTCTCCCTCCCCTCCCTCCACACATCTTCCTCTTTCTTCCATCTTTCCCCCTCTTTTTTTTCTGTCCCTCTGCACCGCCTTCCCTTAAATCTCTTCACCCTCATCCCATCTCTCTCTCTCTCCATCTGCCTCACACTGCTCTCTCCCATCCTTTTCCATCTCCCTCCACCTCCTTTCTGTTCCTTTCATCCCCCTTCCCATCCCTCTCCACCTCCTCTAATCCTTATCAACCCCCTCTTCCCATCACGGACACCATTCCCATCCCTCACCCCCATCCTTCCCATCCCTCACCCCCTCCTTCTTCCCATCCCCCCCCCCTTCCTTCCCATCCCTCACCCCTTCTCCTTCCCATCCCTCTCCCCCCCGTCCCTTCCTTCCCATCCCTTAACCCCCCCCCCTCACACCCGTATTCACGGGCCAAAATGGAAGAGGTCGGAGTGCTGGAATTCCAACGATTGCTATTCCTTTCACTCCACAATATTCAGCCTATTTGAACTTAATAAACCGGAATTATATAATGAGACCCGGGGAAAGGCGGTCGACAAGTCGAGCGGCAAAATCGCCCCTAAAGCACCGCAGCGTAAGGTCGATTTTGCGGGGACTGTCTCATGCCGCGAGAGAGAGAAAAGGGGTTGTTTTGGGAGAAGAACCCTCGCTGAGCCAAAGAATAGGGGTGAAGAGGGGGAGGAGGTGGGACAGCCACTCCCTCGCCTCCTACAAAAGACCTGATAATGTACAACAAGGGCAAGATTTTCATCATTCCTCCTCCTCATGATGAATAACTTAAGACCCACTTACTCACTTTTCCTGCAGAGAGCAATGCAGTTGTGTCTAGCCGGCTCGTTGGTTGACTAGCTGGCTCGTTGGTTGACTAGCTGGCTCGTTGGTTCACTAGCTGGCTCGTTGGTTCACTAGCTGGCTCGTTGGTTCACTAGCTGGCTCGTTGGTTCACTAGCTGGCTCGTTGGTTCATTAGCTGGCTCGTTGGTTCATTAGCTGGCTCTTTGGTTCACAAGCTGGCTCGTTGGTTCACTAGCTGGCTCGTTGGTTCACTAGCTGGCTCGTTGGTTCACTAGCTGGCTCGTTGGTTCACTAGCTGGCTCGTTGGTTCACTAGCCAGCTCGTTGGTTCACTAGCTGGCTCGTTGGTTCACTAGCCGGCTCGTTGGTTCACTAGCCAGCTCGTTGGTTGACTTGTTTGTTTGCGTATTGACTCGCCAGATGGCTAGCTTCCCTGTTGGTTAGTTGTTTCATCTACAGATCGACTTGCTGACCTGCTGATTGGTTGCCTCAGCAGATACCAGGCCAGTCCGCACCATTTATACTAGTAATTAAGCCCACGTGACCAGATGTAACGAGTGGATGATGGCTCCAACTGCCCGTGATATATTTACCGTTTGAAGATTGCGACTGTCATACTATTTATTGGCTGGAACACTTTAAACCACTTCGTAAAGGACTTTTAAAATATTTACATGTGTTGTATTAATGCAGTAAGAATTGGATGCAAGTCGTGTCAAATGAAGGGCTGTATCCTTTAGCATGCCTAGCATGATTTGTGTGTGTACTCACCCTGTACTCCAGGAGGCCTGGTTGACGACCGGGCCGCGAGGACGCTAAGCCCCGGAAGCACCTCAAGGTAACCTAGTTGTGCGCCTCTCACTTATGTTCTGCTACCGTTTTTTTGATGGTTAATTGCAGTATGTCAAGATGATTTTGCTGAGGCTGCGTTGACTACCTTGGAATTATGTGAGAGAAAAAGGGCGAGAGAGAGAGAGAGATGAAGGAAGAGAAGAGGAAGAGAACAGAGGATATAGGAAGAGAGGGTAGAGGAGAGGAAGAGAGAGACAGGCCTGGGGCCTCGCTGCTGGCTGGGTAAGACCCTTCTAGTCACATCTTTATATTGAAGTTAGAGATCCACATTCTGAAAATTCCGCATCAAAGGTCTTCAGATCAAATGATTTCCCTCATTCCTCCAACAGAACAGCGAATATCAAATCAAATACAGCATAAAATTTACAAATAAAATAAAACAGAAATGTTCACCCAAAAATCCCACAGGAGAAGAAAGCACAATTGTTTAGCTGTCAATATAATTCTCATAGATCAGTCGGGGAGGGAATTATAATTTGTTCTATAATAAATCTAATTACAAGCCATAAAGTTATCATCACATTACGGAATGCAGAGTGCTTCAGTCCGCACCTTGAGGGACCCGCAAGAGCCGCAGCCGCCCGGCCGCATCGGGCGTCCAATGGGATTAGAAATTCCCCTCTCATTGCGAATTGTGGACACAAAATCTTATAAGAGGATTAAATTATCCAGAAGCTCGTAAAAATCCGAGACGGCCTTGGGAATGGAGGCGTTGTCGCCACCACACAAGAACCCGTGCAGAATACTCGGGTTTCAACCCCATTTTTGCGTGTTTTCTTTCGTACTTCTTCTCCATTTTGCACTAGCCTCTTATCCTTCTCTGTCTCTCTCTCTCTCTCTCTCTCTCTCTCTCTCTCTCTCTCTCTCTCTCTCTCTCTCTCTCTCTCTCTCTCTCTCTCTCTCTCTCTCTCTCCGTCCCTTAGCAAGTATCTTGTAGTTCCCATAACAAGAGAATCTTTCTTGATAATTTTTCCCTTCGTGTTGAATGGTCTTACAGTCTTGCATCTTCTTAATTTTTCTCCTAAACAATTACAAGGCCTAGATGTAGTACAGAATGATGCCATGCGCATCATCCTGGGTTGTCCTAGAACTGTCAGAATTGTTAACATGAGAAAGGAACTAAACTTACCTTCCATTTACGAAAGAATAGTTCTACTTAGTACTATGTTTTTGCGCCAAAACTTTGAAAAATAATGGTCCCCCCAGCTCTATTCAAATTAAATTGAGATCCATTCTAAACAATTCTGACTGTTCCCTCAATCCGCCGCAAAAAGCTCCCTACAGTGTGTGGCTCAGTTGTTGTGTCTATAATCTTCAGAAACTGAATGTATCTCTTAACCCTGATAAAACTGTTCACTATATTCCCCCTTGGAAAGATGTGGAGGTCTCTCTGCATTATACTCCCATCAGTGTAAAACAAATGTATAACACTGACATTTTGAGATGTATAACATTAGAAGCTATTGACAGTCATCTTCAAATTCTCAAACCGACTGAATCCTATGCCTTTACTGATGGCTCTGTGCAGTTAGGCACTGGTAGAACAGGTTGTGCATGTGCAGTGTATAAAGGGAATGAAATGATCATGACTAGTACACAGAGATTGAACAACTGGGCAAGCACGACACAGACCGAGCTATTGGGTATTTATCTAGCCACTGAATACCTTAAGCTCAATGGTGGTGGAGTTATTTTCTGTGACTCTAAAAGTGCTCTGCAGTCCTTAAATAACCCATCACAATGTATGTCGGAAGTAGCTTGTAATATTAAATGGAATGTAATTTTTGCCAATGATAATAATTCTTGTATAAAATTTGTGTGGATCCCATCCCATGTTGGAGTTGAAAAACATGACTTTGTAGATCGATTGGCCAATGAGGCTTGCAGGAAAGAAAACATTGATTATGATTTTGGACTATCTAATGCAGTTATTAGAAACATACAAATTAAAGAAATTAATTCAGATTTAGAAGAACTAAGAAATGCACAGAGACCTGAAAGCTGCAGTATTAAAAGTTATAACAAGTTCTGTAATAATAGGTATTTGTATGGTCAGCACAGTAACCGGACCAGGCAATGTGATGTAGTAATTGCGCGAATTCGCCTTGGCTATAGACACATCTGGCAGGTTAGTGAGGCTGAGCCACTACCAGAATATTCAGATTGTAAACTCTGTGATAAACCTTTAATGCATTCAATAGAACACTATATTGATGAATGTGAAACCGTAAAGGACTTTAGACCTCCTGGCCTATTGTACCACCAACTGTGTAACTATTTTATTGACTCAGGTGTTCTGGACGACATCCTAACAATTTACCCAAAATTTGCTTGTCCATTTTAAAGAATGAAGAACAATTTCTACTTATATTCTAAGCTGTATCACTTATGAACCCATCCCTGCACTTGTGTGGCAGTGCACAATAGAAAGTTGTTTTCACATATCCACACATTAAAACATTGATTGTAACCGTGATATATATGTGCTTCAGCCTACAGTTTAGGCCTATTGTCTTATGTATGACCCTCTGTCCTGCGTGACAGTGAATACTAGCATTAACCTCAATTTAATAAGACTATCAAAATCCTCAGATTAGGCAAAATTGTAATTAATTTTGTCAATAAAGATGTTAATAATAATAACAGTGTCTACGCATTTCGGACACGTCACCGTAGTTCACAGTTATTCCGAATATGTAACCGTAGTACACACTCATTCCGAACACGTCACCGTAGTTCACACTCATTCCGAACACGTCACCGTAGTTCACACTCATTCCGAACACGTCACCATAGCTCACACTCATTCCGAACACGTCACAGCAGTTCACACTCATTCTGTATCCAGGTAACGAAGCAGTTACCGTCAGCTCACATGGTCGCTGTCAAAGGCATGTTGTTGTTGCTGTTTAAGATTCGCTACCTGGAACAAAAAGTTCCAAGTAGCACGGGCTATGGTGAGCCCGTAACGGACTCCAAAAAAAGGTGTGGTTTCCCCGTCTACTGGCGACACTGGCGTCTTACTGGCGTCCTCTCCATAAGCCGAACAGCCTCGTTCGGACTAAACGAGTTTCACAACAGCCGCTGCTCACTTATTAACAGCTTTAGTGTCTTGCTAAACCTTTCATCTCATCCAATTACCATTTTTAGCATCGTTAGTGCTCACATAATTATTCTGTACCGTGAAACCTCACCATTAGCCTTTGTATGTTGTTACTACACTAACAGCCCTCGTTACTACACTAACACCCCTCGTTACTACACTAACAGCCCTCGTTACTACACTAACAGCGCTCGTTACTACACTAACAGCCCTCGTTACTACACCAACAGCCCTCGTTACTACACTAACAGCCCTCGTTACTACACTAACAGCCCTCGTTACTACACTAACAGCCCTCGTTACTACACTAACAGCCCTCGTTACTACACCAACAGCCCTCGTTACTACACTAACAGCCCTCGTTACTACACTAACAGCCCTCGTTACTACACTAACAGCCCTCGTTACTACACTAACAGCCCTCGTTACTACATTAACAGCCCTCGTTACTACACCAACAGCGCTCCTTACTACACCAACAGCCCTCGTTACTACACTAACAGCCCTCGTTACTACACTAACAGCCCTCGTTACTACACCAACAGCCCTCGTTACTACACTAACAGCCCTCGTTACTACACTAACAGCCCTCGTTACTACACTAACAGCCCTCGTTACTACACCAACAGCGCTCGTTACTACACCAACAGCCCTCGTTACTACACTAACAGCCCTCGTTACTACACTAACAGCCCTCGTTACTACACCAACAGCCCTCGTTACTACACTAACAGCCCTCGTTACTACACCAACAGCGCTCGTTACTACACCAACAGCCCTCGTTACTACACTAACAGCCCTCGTTACTACACTAACAGCCCTCGTTACTACACCAACAGCCCTCGTTACTACACCAACAGCCCTCGTTACTACACTAACAGCCCTCGTTACTACACTAACAGCCCTCGTTACTACACTAACAGCCCTCGTTACTACACCAACAGCCCTCGTTACTACACCAACAGCCCTCGTTACTACACTAACAGCCCTCGTTACTACACTAACAGCCCTCGTTACTACACCAACAGCCCTCGTTACAACACTAACAGCGCTCGTTACTACACTAACAGCCCTCGTTACTACACCAACAGCCAACGTTACACCAACAGCCCTCGTTACTACTCCAACAGCCCTCGTTACTACACTAACAGCCCTCGTTACTACACTAACATCCCTCGTTACTACACTAACAGCCCCCGTTACTACACTAACAGCCCTCGTTACTACACTAACAACCCTTGTTACACCAACAGCCCTCGTTACAACACTAACAACCCTTGTTACACCAACAGCCCTCGTTACAACACTAACAGCCCTCGTTACTACACTAACAGCCCTCGTTACTACACTAACAGCCCTCGTTACTACACTAACAGCCCTCGTTACTACTCCAACAGCCCTCGTTACTACACTAACAGCCCTCGTTACTACACTAACAGCCCTCGTTACTACTCCAACAGCCCTCGTTACTACACTAACAGCCCTCGTTACTACACTAACAGCCCTCGTTACTACACTAACAGCCCTCGTTACTACACTAACAGCCCTCGTTACTACACTAACAGCCCTCGTTACTACTCCAACAGCCCTCGTTACTACTCCAACAGCCCTCGTTACTACACTAACAGCCCTCGTTACTACACTAACAGCCCTCGTTACTACACTAACAGCCCTCGTTACTACTCCAACAGCCCTCGTTACTACACTAACAGCCCTCGTTACTACACTAACAGCCCTCGTTACTACACTAACAGCCCTCGTTACTACACTAACAGCCCTCGTTACTACACTAACAGCCCTCGTTACTACACTAACAGCCCTCGTTACTACACCAACAGCCCTCGTTACTACACCAGCAGCCCTCGTTACTACACTAACAGCCCTCGTTACTACACTAACAGCCCTCGTTTCTACACCAACAGCCCTCGTTACTACACCAGCAGCCCTCGTTACTACACTAACAGCCCTCGTTACTACACTAACAGCCCTCGTTACTACACTAACAGCCCTCGTTACTACACTAACAGCCCTCGTTACTACACTAACAGCCAGGGATCCCATCTTAAAGTGCCCCCTTCATCATTATGCAAACAGGGATTATAATGTCATTTTTGGCACTCCCTCCCCGGAATTAAGTTAGCCAACAGACTGCGCCGGGGCGGGTGTGTTAAGTGGCCCCCGGAAAGAACGGCTCACGCAAGCACACGCAAACACACGCAAACACACGACAAAAAATGTAAACGAACCTATATACGTTCTCATACATTTGTATTGTCTTTCCTTTTTTCTCCCCTTATTTGTTATCTTAGTTTCCCTTCCTCTTCCTTTATTCTAGCATTATTATAGTTCTTTTTATTATTATTTTGGCGTGAAGGAACAACGTCCAGTCAGTCCTCCACGTTCGAGGCTCTCGACCAGGCGGTGGAGGGTACCGTTCAGCACAAGGTGTCTATACAGACTTCAGCATTTGTCTGTCTATGAAAGTCTAAGAGCTCCTTCTTGTAGCCTTTACACGATAAAAAAGATACAGAACCATCTGGTGTGGTTTGTTGTTGTCACTTTTATAGAGTGAATCATTTGAGGAGAGTATACATGTTTACTGTGATCCACTTGACTGTGACTGTTGGTGTGTGGTGGTGTTGGGGTTGTTCCCCACCCCCTCCCCCTCATTCCCTTCTCCTCATCTTCATTCCCTCCCTCACACTCTTCTTTCCGCCCCCCCACGCCCATCTTTCCTCCAGATACCCTTCTTCCCCAGCGCCACACGACCCACCGGGCTGTGAGTGCCTGCGTCTGGTGGTGTCAGTTGGCAAAAAAAAATGGAGTACAGGGGGGAGAGAAATAAGGGAGGGGGTTCGGGGAGAGATGAGGGAGGGGGTTCGGGGAGAGATGAGGGAGGGGGTTCGGGTAGAGATGAGGGAGGGGGTTCGGGGAGAGATGAGGGAGGGGGTTCGGGTAGAGATGAGGGAGGGAGGGGGGGGGTTGTTTCGAAGGGGAGAAGAGACTCCCCCAAGAAGAAGCTCTCGGCTGGAAATTGTAGCAGTTATCCTAGGTGACCAAAATGGCCATTAACTCCGAGGGATGGCTTCGGTATGCAAACCACGAGCAAAACAAGAGTCCCTTTGGTGCGTCAACCATTCGTAATGGGCCCTTTATGTACTTTTTTCACCTTAATAATAGGCACTCAAAGTGGCCCTTACAATAAACGAAACCCCTCGTAAAGCCCCCCTCGTTACCAAGGTAAAAGTTTGAAGGCATTATCCAAAAAAAGACGAATTTGTGTAAAAAGTATACCCCCCTCGTTATTTCAAGGGCAGTCTAGTATATTTCTCCCAGGCACAGTCGTAAACATGAACGCCATTGTGATAGAAAAAAACTTATCTGATAATTAAAAAAGCCCAAAAACACCCAAAAAATCCACCTCACACAAGCCATAAACAGGAGCAAAGGCATCAACATATTAAAAAGACTGAACAGGAGCGGTGCCAGGAGCCAGCGATACACATCTTAATGGCTTGTTTTTATTGGGGATTTTTTTTTATTTCCTGCCACCCTTCTCTTACATTCCTCTGCTCCTCCTCCTCCTCCTCCTCCTCCTCTTCTCCTCACCGCTTGTGTCTTCCTGGTATCTTCCGTCGTCCTCTTCCTGTTGCTTCGTTTCCTTTCTACCTTAGTAATTTTGTTTTTCTTCTCGTCTCGTGCCTCGATCTCAGTCCTCTCTCTCTCTCTCTCTCTCTCTCTCTCTCTCTCTCTCTCTCTCTCTCTCTCTCTCTCTCTCTCTCTCTCTCTCTCTCTCTCTCTCTCTCTCTCTCTACTCATTCTTTGGGAAAATTAATGCGGGTTTCTCTGATTATTTATGCCTTTTCTTACTTTCACTGTTGGCTCTTTTATCCAACATTATTTATTTTTTTCTTTTGTCTTTTCTATATATTTTTTTGTATTCTTAATGCCATTTTCATTATTCAACCAATAAAGGATTTGAAAGTAGTTTATTTCTGAATTTACATTTTACTGCTGCACAATATACCTAACGGCACTCACACACACACACACACACACACACACACACACACACACACACACACACACACACACACACACACACACACACACACACACACACACACACTTTCCGTTTCAGTTTCACACCTGAGTTTCAAGTGTAAATATGATAGAGCCCAACAGGCTCAGGAACCTGTACGTCAGTTGATTGACAGTTGAGAGGCGGGACCGAAGAGCCAGAGCCAAAGACCAAGGAGCACCACTAGGTGAGTACACCCACTCTAAAATGACTACAAGGAAGCAGTGACTGCCAGAGCGGCTGCTGGCTTGTATTATAATGATAACCAATCGAGTTCGTCAAGCAAGTACATCATACATTAATCTCTATATAACCCCGAGTGAGTGGGTCCGCATTAGTAGAGCAGGTCAAGAGGGCTCTAATATAAATGTTGGATTTCGGGAGCTCTGTCTGTCTCTGTCTCTCTCTCACTCTCTCTCTCTCTCTCTCTCTCTCTCTCTCTCTCTCTCTCTCTCTCTCTCTCTCTCTCTCTCTCTCTCTCTCTCTCTCTCTCTCTCTCTCTCTCTCTCTCTCTCTCTCTCTCTCTCTCACTCTCTCTCTCTCTGTTCCAGGTTTAATTGATAGGCAAGACGATTTGAAGTGGACGGCCGTAAATTTTCACTCAATCGTATACAAGTGATATTATGTGGAAGGGGGAAGATGGAGGAAGAGGGAAAGAGGGAAGGGGATATAACAAAAAGAAGAGAGGAAATGAGGTAATAAAATACATATATGCACACACCTACTTTTTTAAAGGGGCTGTTTTGCACATTTTACCATGTCTTACTACCATGTCTTACTACCATGTCTTACTACCATGTCTTACTACCATGTCTTACTACCATGTCTTACTTACTCCTCTGGTGGAGAAGTATTTCAGGGTTATCTTGAGGTTATCTTGAGATGATTTCGGGGCTTTTTAGTGTCCCCGCGGCCCGGTCCTCGACCAGGCCTCCACCCCCAGGAAGCAGCCCGTGACAGCTGACTAACACCCAGGTACCTATTTGACTGCTAGGTAACAGGGGCATAGGGTGAAAGAAACTCTGCCCATTGTTTCTCGCCGGCGCCTGGGATCGAACCCAGGACCACAGGATCACAAATCCAGCGTGCTGTCCGCTCGGCCGACCGGCTCCCCCTTTCCGGAACCAGTCCCTCCAATATTTTCCACGTGTGAATTATTATGTATCTTGCCTGCACCGGTCGAGAGATCTTAAGCAGATTCAATATTTTAGATGTTTTATTGAGTGGGTTCCGGCAGTAAAAGTTCTGTATACTTTCTCCAGGTCAGGAGTTTCTCCTGCTTTGAATGGTGCTGTTAGTGAGCAACATTCTGCCACCTTAGATATA